GCCCAAAGAGCCAATGCGACTATTGTAAAGGATTACTTTGAAAAACTTAGTAAAGTTATTGATGAAAATTCACTTACTGCTACACAGATCTGGAATATGGATGAAACTAGCTTTGCCCTTATTCCTAAATCTGAAAAAGTTGTTGCATGAAAAGGTGCATGCCAAGTTCATAAAGTGGTATATGGAAATACTCATGAACATATTTCTGTAGTACCAACTATTTTAGCCGCTGGGTCATGTATACTACCTTTATTTATCTATAAAGGTGTTCGTGCAATCTTAGGTCTATTAGAAGATGCACCTCCTGGAACTGTCATGGGTTTCACAGATACTGGATACATGCATGAGGATTTTTTCAAATGTATCTTAACCATTTCATTAATTCTATCCCACCTACCTATCCAGTTCTATTGATACTTGATGGTCACAAAAGTCACATTAACTATATAAGTGTTGACTTTTGTCGCAACAATGGTATCCTTCTTTTCGCATTACCACCTCATACAACACATGTTTTACAACTGTCTGAGATTTCATTTGCCAAATTAAAAAATGAGTATGGTAAAGCAAGTGATAAGTATCATAATGACAATAATGGTAAAATAGTTACAAAGCATACCTTTGCAAAGATTCTTGGTCTCGTTTTTGCAAAAACTTATATATCACTAGCTATTTGTAATGCCTACAAAACAACTGGGATATGGCTCTTTAATCCTAGTGCAATTGGTGATAATCGTTTAGACCCTTCTTTAGTGACTGAATAGTTTAAAGATTCAACTTTAGATAATTTGCCTTTTGTTCAGCCAACTGGTATGACTCTAACATCACCACCACCTGCACTAACAAGTCATTCTCATTCTACTCACCTAAGTATTGAGAATTTAAAAGAAGATAGCATTTTACTAAGGAATGAGAATGATTTGTTAAAATCTCAGGTTAAAAAACTAAGTGAAGAGCTAGAAACTTACAAGAATCCTGGAACATGTGCATTGCATCTAGCGCTTAAATATCCTATTTCGCAAGTTCAAAATTCTCAAGAAGCATCTGAATCTGTGTTGCCTCCTCCTAAAAAAAAGAGAAAGATACTCCCATTTGCTTGACTTTTGACCAACAAAGAAAGTTGGCAGCAAATGAAAGAGATAAATGAAGAAGCTAAACGAAAAGCTGAAGAAATTAGGCAAAAAAAGGAGGCTGCAGCTCAAAAAAAAGAAGCAGCGGCCCAAAAAAAAGAAGCAGCGGCCCAAAAAAAAGCAGTAGCCCAAAAAAAAGTGGAGGTAGTCAACCGAAAAAGAGGTTGGCCAAAAGCTAAACCTAGTACAGATAATGAATCAGGTTAAAAAAAAATTTTTTTGCTGCTAAAATTAAATTCACCATAATACCCTATCAATCAAATTCTAGATTTAAAATAACATTGCACATGATAATGATTCTTTGGCCAACTCTGATTTTTGTACTCTTTTTTTTTTATATTAGTTTATTCTTGAATGTAATTTGAATCGTTTGCTATAAATATTTGGATGTTTATATGAGTTAATAAAAAGTTTTAATAATAGCAACTTTAACTTCGCCATAATACCCCTATCCCCCTTATATATAATCTAAATTTTTTAATTTGTATTACAAACAAATATTATTAATATAAAAAGAAATT